CTCAATATCTTCAGCCAAAACAAGGCCAGGAGCTGATTGTGGAACAGACCATCAACTGCTCATATGTAAGTTCAACTTGAAGTTAAAGACAATTAGAACAAATCCAAGAGAGCTAAAATATGATCTTGAATATATCCCTCCTGAATTTGGAGACCATCTAAAGAATAAATTTGATGCACTGCACACCAATGACCAAAAACCAGAAGAATTGTGGGATGACATCAAGAACATCATATATGAAGAAAGTAAGAGGTCACACACACAAAAATAAAAGACAAGAAAAGAGAAGACCAAAATGGATGACAGAAGAGAGTCAGAAACTTGCCCTTGAGTGGAGAGTAGCTAAAGCAAATGGAAGAGATGACAAGATAAAAGAGCTGAATCAAAGAATTCAAAGAGCAGCTCAAGCGGACAAAGCCAATTACTATAATGAAATGTGCAAAGACCTGGAATTAGAAAACCAAAAGGGAAGAACACACTCGGCTTTTCTCAAGCTGAAAGAACTGATGAAAAAATTTAAGCCTCAAGTTTCAATATTGAAAGATTCTATGGACAAAATATTGAATCATGCAGGAAACATCAAAAGAAGATGGAAAGAATACACAGAGTCAATGTACCAAAAAGAACTGGTTGATCATCCATTTCAGGAGGTGGCATATGAGTGGCATATGATCTAGAACCAATGGTACTAAAGGAGGAAGTCGAAGCTGCAATGAAGGAATTGGCAAAGAAAAAGGCTCCAGGAATTGATGGAATATCCACTGAGATATTGCAACAAACGGATGCCCCACTGGAGGCACTCACTCAGTTATGCCAAGAGATTTGGAAGACAGCTACCTGGCCAACTGACTGGAAGAGATCCATATTTGTACCTATTCCAAAGAAAGGTGATCCCACAGAATGTGGAAATTATCAAACAATATTATTAATATTGCATGCAAGTAAGATCTTATGAAGATAATTCAAAAATGGTTGCAGCAGTATATTGACAGAGAACTTCCAGAGTGCAAGCTGGATTCAGAAGAGGACGTGGGACAAGGGATATCATAGCTGCTGTCAGACGGATCTTGGCTCAAGGCAAAGAATACCAGAAAGATGTTTACTTGTGTTTTATTGACTATGCAAAGGCATTTGATTGTGTGGATCAAGATAAATTGTGGATAACACTGAGAAGAATGGGAATTCCTGAACATTTGATTGTACTCATGAGGAACCTGTACATTGACCAGAAGGCTGTTGTTCGAACAGAACAAGGGGGCACTGCATGGTTTAAAATCAAGAAGGGAGTGTATCAGGGTTGTACCCTTTCCCCACACTTATTCAATCTATATGCTGAGCAAATAATCTGAGAAGCTGGACTATATGAAGAAAAACGTGGCATCAGGATTGGAGGAAGAATCATTAACAACCTGCAATACGCTGACAACACAACTTTCCTTGCTGAAAGTGAGGATGACTTGAGCCACCTACTGATGAAGACTGAAGAATACAGTCTGCAGTATGGATTACACCTCAATATAAAGAAAACAAAAATCTTCACAACTGGACCAATAAGCAGCATCATGGTAAATGGAGAAAAGACTGAAGTTGTCAAAGAATTTACAGTACTTGGTTCTACAACTGATGCCAATGGAAGCAGCAGTCAGGACATTAGATGACGTATAGCACTGAGCAAGTCAGCTGCAAAGGAACTCTTTCAAATGCTGAGGAGCAAGGATGTCCTTGAGGACTAAGATGTGCCTGACACAAGCCATGATATTTTCAATTGCCTCATATGCATGTGAGAGCTGGACAATGAATAAGGAAGACCGAAGAAGAGTTGATGCTTTCGATTTGTGGTGCTGGTGAAGAATACTGAAAGTACCATGGACTGCTAAAAGAACTAAGAGATCTGTCCTGGAGGAAGTGCAGCTGAATGCTCCTTGGAAGCGAGAATGGCCAAACTTCGTCTCACCTAGTTTGGTCATGTTGTGAGAAGGGACCATTCCCTGGAGAAGGAGATCATGCTTGGTAAGGTGGAGGGTCCAGGAAAGAGGCGAAGGCCTTCAACGCGATGGATGGACATGGTGGCTGCAACGATGGGCTCAAGTATAGCAAGGATCACGGAGCTGGTGCAGGATTGGGCAGTGTTTCGTTCTGCTGTGCATAGGGTCTCTACGAGTCAGAAATGACTCATTGGCACCTAACAATAACATCTATCGCAGAAAAAAAGATTTCCAAATAT